ATGGTGATTGCATATAAATTTGCAAATAATTATTTTATATACTATTCCAAATTATGTTCTGATATTCAAACTATTGAATTGAATGAACATGAGATTTTACAAATACATTCTTCTTCATTAATGAGCCTTGTAACCTTTTGGAAATTTCTATGTATTTATTGATTGTTATGCTCAATGATAGTCTTTTACACAACTATTAAACCTTCTATTAAATCACTTACGAATTCCCAATGAAGGTTTACAATAACTTATCATGTTATCTCAAAGACGTTTTACATTCACTACTTAAATTTATAGTTTCTGAATTATCATTCTATACACATTAGTGAAGAAAATTGTTTTATATAACTGTTAGTAGCTCATCATAAAGCCGGAAATTTCTGTATTGTCTACATACCCCATTTATGCATGATAGAACTGAACTAGTTAGCAAATTTAGAAATGTCATAGTTTTCTGACGTTCATTTCACGATACTACTCTAAGTGATATAAAATGTCTTAGTCGCTTTCAAATTGTTGCTTTTAATTTAATCATAGTAATGAGAGTATGATTAGTTAAACTATTTAAAACATATTTGTTACCCTTTAGTGAACTAGAACACAAGTGGGAACAACCAGATGTATCTTAGTACATTACAAAATATCTTGGTGAAATCTGCCAACCATACAGTGAAAATGTCAATTGCAAAATGTCAACCAGTCGTCTCAGACTTTGTTGTTCCTTCGTTTTCAGACCAATCACTCGCTGTTCTTGTTCTCTTTTCTTCGAGTTTCTCAACCTTACGCCGCCAGACATATTACTTTCGATTGGTGATACATACCACTTATATCTGCCAACATCAGTAGCACACACCACACCCACTGCATTTATATACATCATAAACTATATATTTCGTACACAAATTACCAACTGCCTACATATTTAATCAGCAGAATATATGTAAACCCAGGAACGTGGTTCATTCTTAAAAACACATTTATCACGTACCAAATCAGGAAGAGGAAAAACAGCAAACTGAGAATAATATGAATTTATTTTATTTCATTCGATTCTCATCATATAATGACAGTGTTTGATGTTTAAGTAATAAAATTAGATTCGGTTACTTCTTTGAAGATTAGTAAATTCGTCTTACCACTCACAGACTTGCGATTCACCTTATTGAGCACAAAGGTGTATGAAAACTAGTTTCAGATTTACTGTAGACCACGTCAGCGATTCCTGTAGATGATAAGCACTGAAAACCAACGATGACTTCTAGAGCTCTCTATGCTTCCTATTACTTATATATGAATGTAATAATATAAAAATGAGTTTATCGAGTAAAACTTTTTTGACTGAGTTAATCGAGATTTTTCTTATGATCAGATGGTCATATTTTGTTACTTAAAAAACGACAGATCCTGTGATAGAATGCTGCTAGCTGATCAACCAACACAACTAGTACTATTCAGATGCTTTTTTCGCGTTTTCGAACATCTTTAGTAACACATATTTGAATTTAATGTCAAACCTGATTGTGTTAAGTTTTATGAAAAGGACATTGATGAGGACTTCCTTAAATTGACTTGAGACAGTATATTTCACGTATTAACTGATATTTTCTAAGATTTATTATGGTTTAAATCCTGGTCAACGACCGACAGTTCAATATTAAATATATGCTAATTAATATGTAATTGCTGAATGATTCGCGTATTAAAACAATCATTCACAAAATAAATCATTTACAAAACATCTCCTTTACTTCGAATATTTTTCTATGCCTATCTGTGAAACTACGCATGTACATTAACAGAAATTGAAGATTTGATCGCAATAGATTATCAGTTCAAATTACTTGCATTTCAAGAATACTGGTAATTGTATTACAAGTTCAAAATACAGAAAATTTATGCCAGCGTGATCACTGGATTACTTAGCTTTTATTAATAGTGCCGAATTCATACCGGCAACGAAACTTCAAGTGCGTTCTCTAATCAAATTACGCATGATCTTTACCCTCTTTTGATTGGCTGTCACCACTTTTAGTTCGCTAATTCTTTGCATGCTTACAGGTCATGCTTTCATTGTTGTACATACTGAGGTGCATGGTTTCAAAATGTTCCGCTTGAATGTTAGGATTTTCCTAAACGTCATCTTCTTCCTATTTGGACGGCTACCGATATTGTGTTCATGACAGAACCGTTTGTGCTTTAATAGTTCAATCGCAACTTAATTCACAGGTAAGGTTGGCCAACCAGAAACCTCAATATATAGTCACCCTTATAACAACTTAAAAACTAGATAAATATATCTCTAAACCAGAATATCCCATTAGTGGATAATAAGAAACTCTAAATACTAACTAGTTAAGGATTTAAAAAATGGATAAGTAAAATGTAGGTTTTTTTTTCATTTCCTTCTAGAAGCTTGTTAAACTGAAGATATGATTTGTAGTGTTGTGGTAAAAAATCACGTAATACTTTGATCAGTAACGCGTTTTAAACACCCGATTGATCTAAAATCAACTTTTTTAAAACCATAAAACGATCATTTTAGTAGAGGTTGTAACAACGTTTATTTGCTTTTTTTTAAAGTACGATCATGTACATGTAAAATACCATAATCATTTCTAATTAATGAGGATAACATTAAGATTAGATTGGTTCTTAAGTTATATGTATCAGGATTTGGCTAGACCGAAACTCGGACGTAGAATAATAATTAGCCACTATTTTTATACGTTGTTTCAATATATATATATATATATATATATATATATATATATATATATATATATATATATATGTAGAGAGAGAGAGAGAATACATTAATATCTACATTGCGGTTGTACATGAGCGATTTCTGGAAAGCCATAATCAATGAAGAGATTAGCACAGAAATCCATTAGGTTAAGTTTCTATATCAGACAAACACAAAATTTACAGCAGGAATATAGAAGCACAGGACATTGCAGTCGTAGAGTAAAAGACTCAGTAGATAAAGATTCGCAGGATCATCAACTGATTTTTTATCTTTGCCAATTATCTTACGTCTAGCCTCAAGATTGCTTAACTAACTCGTCCAAAATGGACCGTCTCTGCTTTAAAGATGCTTATGATGAAGAACTTGTAGTCTACGAATGTCTTTCAATTTTAGAAGCCATATTTCACAGAAATAAAGTAAGATCGCTGTACAATGACGAAGTTTGTACGTTTGGTTTAGTTGTTGCAAATAAACGAAATCATTATATAAAAATAGGATCAATCGTTAAATGATAGACGCTTTTATCTATAAAGTATGACAAATATATGACAAAATATGTAAAACTATTTAATTATTGAGATCGAATACTACTACTAGCAAAACAATGCTGAGGATACATACTTGCTTAGTTACTAGTATCCAATTAGGATTTACAAACTAGGTAAATCCGTATATTTATTAGAAGCAAAGACGAATTAACTGTAAGTCACTGTGCTTAATTTGTGCTCATTATTCTTATATAATAGATTAGCATGAATTTTGGACTTAAACAAGCAATAGAATACATTAATATGTTTATGCATACTCTGTTGACAATAACTTCATTTTGTTTACGTGAACAACCTCGATGATTAATTCAATTCGGTGTATATATACTGAAAAGAACAAGTACCGTTAAATCATCATGGTAAATCAGAAAGTGACGATTAGAAATACTTACTAAAGAAACTTATTTTCAATATATAAATTCACAATGAAACTTCATCTGTTAATATGTAATATACAGTTTGTATCAAGTCATTTAAGAAAATATGTTTGTACAAACTTTGAAGAATTCAATCAAGACATTTACATTGCAAAGTAAATTATAATTAGTAAATAAATATTTATTTAGTATTGAATATATTTTCTAGAAATAAAGTGTAATATACAATGCTAAATATACATTTATATATATATATATAGCATTTCTATACATGGGTTAAATAAAAACTCATACACCAACACATATACGAATAGTGTACTGTTGACTGACTGAGTTCAAAATCATCCTGTTTTTCTGCATAAAAATAAATTACACTTTTCATGTAGACATAAGCACTATGTCGTCCATGACAGTGGCATAAAAATAAAGTATCATCGAAATATCAAAATTATATACTATACTATACTATACTATAACAATACAAAATGATATGATCTACTTTACAAGAATAAAGACTTCTTATGGTTATAATAATGAAAAGGTACCAATAAATATTCGGAATAAAGAATGTAATATACAAAATAAAATGAATCAGAAATACTAATAAAGTTGAACAGAAATTCCTTAATTTCTATTATTGAAATAGATTAAAATTAAAATGATCGTATAAAAATTATACATGCCAAAATGGACTACTAATCAAGTGATTAAGTAGTATGTAAACAGATTTTTCAAAGAATCCAATGTCTAAGATCAATAATACGAAATGTTACATGTTTAAAAGAAGAAAATTCTAGATATATTAAAAAAATGATCACTTTAACTACTTTTTGGCCATAAAATCTTTCAATCAACCTACCATTTATTACAGTTTCATTTTTATATACCAATAAAACTACACTTCAAATTACATTAACTGAATTGAGTACTTAACTTACGTGTATACAATGAATTTTGTTTTAGAAAAAAAACACACGGTAAAAACGTTGGAAACAAATATCTGTACTGTAAAAAGAATATTTGCAGTCTCAAATCAAAATACATAAACGACATTCGAAAAATTTATGTACAATAATGAAAGATTTAATGATTGGCAGAAATAAATGATGAATATGTTTATAAATATAAATTATCGCAATAAAAATTAATTCATTCATTTGTGTTGAAAAAAAGGAATAAAACACAAGTTTCATTTTCAAACCATTTCCCTCTCTCTCTCTCTCTCCCAATTTCAATGTATTAAAAAGTTCAATCATCTTATCACTTTGACATGTAGACGACCTTTGAATATGATTAAAAACATAATAGAATAAAATAGGCATTATTTTAAGCACATCGACCTTTCAGTTCAGTTTCTAGTTGGAAAAGACGTGTTTTTAACGCTTTGTATTCACAGTATTCTGAACGCATACATAATCGATCCTCTCGTTCTACCTTTTGACCTTTACAAATGAAAGAAAATAAGTATTAAGAATACATACAAAAAATCCCTATATATATATATATATATATATATACTCTAATGAATATTGAGCATATTAACAGGATTTAGTTGAATTTACTGTTAAAACAAAAAAAGAATAGCTAGATATACACATTGCATAATTAAAATTTATATAAAACTATTAACATTATGGCCCACTCACAGATCAACATTGTCATAAAATCTAATAGAATTTTTTTATTTTAAAACGCAGCGATGAAATAAGATTAACCGAATCGCTTTTGTATGTTAACACTATCAAATAAAATTGACCATTCCTATTTAACTTCGTACATTTGAACAATAAGAAATAAAATCGGATAAAGAAATTGAAAGCGCAGAATGTTAAAGATAACGGATATTGAGGAAGCTTATACATTAGGTTGATATGTTGTTTCATCATATGAATGGCATCAGAAACTAAGATTACAACCATACTCAAATAACACAGCATAGATACATATTTTAACATATGGCCTCATAGGGAAGAAACGAAAAAAAGAGACGTTCATAACAAATCATGGTAAGAATAACAAGTAAATAGCAGTGTAGAACTATATTTTAGAAAATACGGAAATCAAGTGAAGTGAAAACAACGAGAGGAAGACTTACGAATTAATCGTTGTAAAACAGTAAGACGAAAAATGGATATGTTGACAGGGATGTAAATGGCTTCACATCATTTAGTAAATGAATCTATCAATCATAACTGTACGTTTGAAATGTATCTTAAATTAAGAGATTTTTTTAATTGATTTTATCTCAAATTACGAACTGATTAAGTTGCTATATTTAAGATTCTGCCGACTTGATATCGGTGAATGTTCAGTTAAGAACATTTACTTGAATGGAATCATTTGGCAAGAATCTTAAGAATACTATTTTAATGTGTTTTTAATTGATTGAAACTTATTATTTACACATTAGAGCTATACATGTGTAAAACTTTACATAAGGATAGAAAGTTTTCAGTGGAACATGAAGTTTGCATCATTTGGACTACAGTAAACATTAAATATGATTGTTAGTGAAAGCTATTGATTGATAGGAAACTTAGTAGGCATAAATATTAGAAAAATAACTGTTTGGAATATGTTGATTGAACACGATCCTCTGTAGGAGAGCTGGTAACTGAAGGTCTCTCAACAACAAATATACCACACCTGACAAAGATTATTAACTGAGGATGATTCATCCCATAAATTTAAAAAATCGGTATGAGAATTTCGTATAATAGAAAAACTGTAATTGTTACGTGAATATCTAATAAACATTCATGTAAATCTAAAAAATTATAGGTAATGCCTCAGAAGATAGACTGAATCAATCCGTACATTCATTAAGTCAATCAGAATTAATTTTGGCATTATTAATTTATGAAAAACAAAACGACAATAACATACAGTGTTAAAGATCGCTCAACTTACCAGTAGTTTGGGCAAATTCGTGTTCAAAATCTTTCAAGGTCTTTTGTAATTGGCGTTTTGATTCACGCAGAGTACGTAATGCTGTCTTCAAGTCAGCGGTAGACCAACTTGAAAAGTCTGATGATGAAATAGCTTGTGACGAGCTGCAATGAAAATTGATGACAAATAAAAATAGAAGTGATCAAAAAAATGTACGACACAGTCTTTGCTGAAAAAAATTCAGATTTCTGATAAACTTTAAATTAGGTTTTATTGGAAACCTAGAAATAAATGAAAAGGTATTGATTGGATAGATGTATGATTTGTACTGCTTACATGCGAATACTGGACTTCTATCATGAAATTTCATAATCTAGAGCGTTTTAGTTCGCAGAATAATGCTAAGAAACATTGGTAATCCTCATTGTCACATGATTTTAGCCAACCTTTAGTTTCATGACAGGAAAAAGAGAAGGATCGTTGATTAGTTAACTAACAAGTAACTAATAGCCATAATATTTAAAAGAATATATATACATATATATATTTCAAAACGGTATAACAGCTGATCAAGCCAACATACCCCTACCAACAAACTACAGGGTTATAAGTTGACTGAAAGAGGTTCCAGATTGGCTGTGAAAAATTATAGATAATCCCAGTGGCATGCTATAGAAATGGAAACAATGATGCTTAAAAACAATATGAACAGATATGAAAGTACATGTTATCGCCGACTAAGTACAAACAGTATAAACAAGTATGTATCGATATGCTATTAGATGATACACAATATAAATCCGTGAAAATACTAAGTGCTATTCATTTGATTGCAATCGAATAGTTAAGGAAAAGAACAAACAAACTATTAGAAAAGTAGATGGTTTAAACGTTGAGAACTGCCAGTAATTAACGAATTGTGTTATTATAAAGACATTTACAGATTTATTAAATTTGACGGTTATAAACTCACTCCGTGCATTTTTCATTGAATGACACAGTATTTATAGCATTTTCTGAGGTGTCAAGAAATTGACGGCGATTTTTCATTAGAGCAGTAGGATTAGTACTTAACTGAACTTCATTCGAAATATTGGCTTGAATAGTTTTTGGGTTGGAAAATGAAGACGATAATGGCGGAGGCGAAAAGTATGGTGCTCTGGCACCGATGAAATTTTCTTGACGAATAGGCGAGGAGAATTCACTTCTAATTCTATTTGAGCATGTCACTGTATCAAACAATCTAGTCGATGTATGTGTTGATGTAGATAACGCATTTTCTACAGGATGTTGGTTATTTTCATTAACGAATTGAGAATGACAATTAAAAGTATTTACATGATAGTTGTGAATGGCATTATCTTGATTTCTTTTACTCAAACCGATTGTCCCAACTAAAGTGACGAGAAAAATACAAAGAAAAATCTGATTCACTCAAGGGTAAGAACATACTGATCAGAGCGAGTGCCTAATTGACCTCCTAAATATACACTACTTCATAATTAATTAAGTAGTTCAATTTGCATAAATGTATTTGACAGTCACCCGTGATGACAACAGTTTTACTTTGAAAGGTCATGTTTAGCATTGAATAATTGGTTTGATACATAACTCATTGCAGTCTATTTTCTCCAAACCTTCACTAAAATGATTACGTTAATAAAAAGAATGATCTAGCGACCAACAAACCAAGTTAGATTTCTACTAGCAACTCATTCTTAACACAAGACTTCAATGATAAATTTTTGTCAGAATGAGGTTTGTGGAAATTGTAGTAATTTGATGGTTCGATTCAAAATTTTATTTTAGATAGATCACTCTGAAAACAATGGACTCCTCAGTAGTGGAGAAGATTTGTAGCTCAGGTGGGTGATTTTGGTGGAGTTTTGTTCTCTGAGCTGGATGGTTTGGTCGTGGAGCTTTCATCGTTCTTCTGAACGACATCATCAGCACAAACTTCAGATAGATAGACTTCTATCTGAAGTTTGTGCTGATGATGTCCTTCAGAAGAACGATGAAAGCTCCACGACCAAACCATCCAGCTCAGAGAACAAAACTCCTCAGTAGTCTCATACTAGGATGAAACGGACGTCCAGTGCTTCCAGGTTTTCCAGAGTGGTCTAGCTTAAATCAACTTATAAATTTTTGTTTTCATTTTTACAGTATGGTAAATCCAGTCGATGAATAATACGGGTACGTGGCGAAAAAACAGCCACATCAAAACAGAGCAGGTAAAATCAGATGAAAAATACACCGTATAATAATAGATATACTTACACCATTCATTATTTTTACCACACGGTACTCGACTATTTCTATCACTGGTACTTTTTGTATCACAATCTATTTCATTGTACTTCAGATCAACATTTGAATCCAAAATGTAAGATTGTTTATTAAAAGCAAAATTATTTTTATTCTGACTCTCATCAATATATGTTGGTCGTTCATTTGGACTGAACAACCTTTTAGAGTTAGGATTAATGTTATATCTTACTGTTGATGGAATTGATGTAACAGTAGGTTGTTTTCGAGCCAAATCCAATCTATCATTAACATGATCATTATTATTACCAAGAGTAGATTGGGCTGAAGTAATCGAAGAATATATAGGCAGGTTGAATGATGCTGAAGTGGACAGCGACATCATAGATGGAACAGGTAGATTGTTATCAGGTATGGATGAGACTGGATTATATAATCTGTTGATAGATCGCAAACTGGAATAAGAAACAGGATTAACTGACTTAAATGAGGCGATACTATTGCTAGTTGTACCAGTAGAATGAATAGATTTTGTTTGTATATTACTATCATTGATTAGCGGCACTAAATTTGGTGATAGTATTGATCGCCGTCTCATTTGATCATCAATCGATGGGACAGACGACTGAAGTTCTGTATCACTAGTTTCTTCTATGTGTTCAGCAATATTCAAATTATTATCAGATTGTAAACAATTTAATAAACGTTTGACACTACGATATCTGTCATATAATGGTCGCATCGTTATACGATCCTGAAGTTCTTTTGGTCGTCCATGCAGATTTTCAAAATATAATAAGGCTTTTTGTAAGGCGAGCTTTTCTGCTGCAATCTATAGAAAAAAAGTTAACAAACAATGAGTCTGGAAAAAAGTAAGGAAATGACAGACTTTTTATTGATTGATTAGCTTCATATGAACAACAAGATGATAATAAAACCGTATACATAGTAAAAAAACAATGTAAAATTTCGTAGAACACTAAGCTGGCTACTAGAATTCATAAAATTACAAGTCAATGTTCACTAAATTATAAATATTGCTTAATTAATTGAAACCTTATCAATTTAGAAGTCTTATGATTGTCAACAATAACGTATAACATTTTATATTTAATAGAATTGATCATCAATCCCTTAAAAATATGTTAATTGTTTTTTATGATTAAATGCATAAACTCAGTGTTGTAAATTTGACAAAGAATTATGTAATAATATAAGACCTCTTATTTATCAACTTAAAAGGTAACTAATCTTTGTTCAAGGCTTAGGTATCACGTCACAAACAATTGTAATAGGAAGTAAATACTTTTAATCAAAAATATTAGCAGTAAAATAAGATTAACAGTATGGATTGGTTTGTTATTGTGGGTTGATTAATAGAAAAAAAAACCATTTATAACTATCTACAGGTTGAGAATAATTATTTTTATGATTCTATATGTTATATTGTAGTTTATTAATTCATTAAGTAATACATTGTTTTCTAGGATAGAAATGATATGCACCACTGGCAAGTTGGAAAAGGATTAATGAACGTTGAAAGATGTTCAAGAGATAATTGCTACCCATTATTTATTTTATATTATTTAAACACATAAAAATTGTTACAAGGAGGCACCAAATAGATATGGGATGAAGTGAAATACTGCTTATGTGCCCAGACCGAAGAAGGTGGTTTTCTTGGGAGGGTCACACCCCGAGCCTTGGACGTGAAGGTTTAATTCATAAGGCAGTGGAGCAACGTAAGGAGATGCAGTCCCATGGTAGCCGGTGACCAACAATAGGTTCATGCGCTATTTGTTTCCTTAGGATCTTGGAGCCCGTGTGAACAACATGTACCATAACTCAAACAACAGTATAAATTTACGGGGACCTGCCACAGAAAGGCGGATTTATTTAAGACGTCATTGCATCATCCTCCTTACAATTTACTTCTAGTTCTATACGTTTACTTTAAACTAACTAATATTAACCAATCTAATTCTTATATACAAATAGCGTTAATTAACTATGAAGTCACTTGTTTCTAGTCCATCGGTTTCTTTTTACTATCACTGTTCCAGAATGTACTTTCATACATGATATGTATTTATACTATTTTTCTCTGATTTTTATTCAGATTTCGTCTTAACAATTTCCAACTAAAATTCATTTATGTATGTAATTTTAACCTATGCGAATAATTTGGATTTTTCAATATTAAAAATTGTAAGCAGTTGATTAGAACCTTACAATCTAAGATGAATTCATGTTATCCTGTTCAAATTTCTGTTATTGTTGACTTCAAATTGAAAATTGAAAATATGATGACATTATTGTTGTGTTAAACCTTCAGCAAAAGAAAAAGCAGTATTAAAATTAAGTTAATTAATTTCTAACACTTAGTTTCTGTTGGGACGGCTTTCGAGAAGCACAACGGAGCCTCCAGAGGCCCTAAAAGAGCTGAAGAGTTTCCACACAACCATAACCTGATGGACTTTTCTTGAGTATCAACGTGGCACACTATGATTGAACGGTGGTCTAACTTGCCTCCTTGCAGATTGGGTGAATTATAATGATGTTATAGGTAACGTTGATATCTATAAATACTCATGATTTTCTGTACATTTTTTATTCTTACCGACAAATCACTCCTCCTGCTTCTTCTGTCTTCAGATTTAAGAATGTGGGGGTTCTGCACGTCCGAGTGCTGTTGGTTGTATATCATATTCTGAGTTAGTCATGTAGTGAACTTGACTAAAATCTTTTTAAATTCATAAGCTGACTACTATTTCAAGTAGTACATATACATATGCTTTAAAAATATCTCAATGTGTAAGATTAGCCTAAACAAAGGGATTAGATAAATCACAAAACTTTATTTCAGAGCAAAACTGGTGGAGCGCAAAAACGTAATGTGGAATTATGTTTTGACAAATGTCATTGTAAATTATAAAAGTATACAACTTGAATCGAACAAAACTACAAAATAAATTACCTGTTTTGGAGTCATTAAATGAAGATCCTCGGGACGATTTGCAATCATACGTTTTTCAGTTAATCGTTTTGAAAGCAGTAAAAATGTACTTTCTATAGTTGGTCTATTAAGATCCGACTGTCTAGATACATTTTCATTTTCGACTTTATTATTGGGTACGATCGATGGTTTAGAAGGAAATGAATTGTTTGATGATCGAAGTTCTATGATGATAATAAAAAGGAATGTCTTTAAAAAGCTGTTGTAAATATAAATAATGTATCGTGATAATATAACGGTTATGTGAAACGTAGTAACGTGAAATGAAATGACTTCATGGATTTTTTTTCTGTTGTCTACTAAACAGTTCCAAGATAAAGATTTACTAGTAAAGTGATTAATAACAGTGATCAATATTGTTTCGTAGCTCTTGTTATATCACTTACTCTAACTAAGTATTGACAAGAAAATTATAAGATTCAAGGGATGAAACCATATATATATATATATATATATATATATATATATATATATGAATACAGACCACAGATGCCTTAGAAATATTGCTGGCATCTGCTGGGATCACCGGGTAAGTAATAGTGAGGTTAGACGCAGGGTATTAGGAAATGATGGTTAATCAGTTGATGAGGTTATGAATCTTCATCGACTGAGATGGTTGGGCCACGTATTACGTATGCCTGAACACCGATTACCGCGACGTGCAGTGCTAACCGGTGTAGGGGATGGTTGGAAGAAAGTTAGGGGCGGCCAAACCAAAACGTGGCATCAGTGCCTGAAGTCAATAACTTCTAGTCTGAGCCATGTTGGTAGATGCAGACTACTTGGTTGGGGTCCGCGTGACTTTCGTAACCAATGGTTGGAGACCCTTGGTGACATGGCTCAGAATCGATCACAATGGCGTCGGTGTATACACTCTCTGTCTTCTCTTAAACTAAGAGATTAAGATCACTTCACATCTTTCTTTCTACGAACTAATTCTTTCTTCCTATACTATATCCTTATTGCAATCTTTTTCCTATATATTACCACCTTTGACCTAACCACTGCTATGAATCCGGTGTTCATCTTGCTGTGCTAATGAGGTATGGCAACCTGGGCCGATGCATACATGTGTCTGGTCCTACGTTGTAGCTGACTGACTGACATATATATATATATATATATATATATATATATATATGTATATATATATATATATATAACATGCAAATTCCATGATAATATTCAGATTCGTAACTATAGAACCTGAATAAAAAGTTAATGAGAATAACTATTTAAGATGGTGGAGAAGATTTGTAGCACAGGGAACAAAACTCTATCAAGAGAATAACTATTCGCTGAGATACATGACATAGAAATTCATCACCATTCACAGATAAAAAATCTTACCTCTAGTACAATCATTTACTTCGTTATCCATCTTAGGAAAAGACTGTTTCCCTAAGGATTGATTTATTAAATAAGCAGATGATATTATTTTCTCATTTATATTTCCATTGTGAATATTATTATTTATAGAGTTAGTTTTGTTTTTTTGAATTTTAATTGAATAATCTTCATATGTATTGTACTCTGAAGAATATCCGTTCTGATTATTGGCTGGAGAAATGATACCATCAGAACTTTTACCTGATAATTTGATTTGTCTAATCGTTTCTTGTACTTCAGACAATTGACGTAATAATTCAGCAATCTGTAACCAGAAAATTAAGGAATCAAATATGCTACCAAATCACTAATCTAACTTTGAGACATTTTCACATTAAATTAAGCTTTTATCAAGATAAATTGACGATAAACTGAATTTCAGTGGAAATAATTTTTATGGTATTTATATCAGGAAATGATATCCATGACTTATCACATAAACAAACTGAATAGCCTCCACCTCTATAAAATGCCGGTTATTTGGTGACTGTTTGGATGAATTAATATTAATGTTCAGTAAAAGTGCACATGATTATAAGAGTTAAACGGAAGCTTCAAACGTTATCACATGCACCAAGATATTTATGTTACACTAGAACGTATTATTAATGTATGACAGCTTAAAACACCTTCCGTTGCAATTTCAGAAATAAAGTGAATTCTCTCATCTTTTCAAAATCTTCATTAAAACCAACGGTAAAATATATAGCCCTAAAATTCATCCTTACTTTTCCAGGATATTATCAATAAGATAAAAACATCTGAATGTGAGTTTATGGTTTAAATTAAAACAGCAGGTAAGATTGCAAACAAAGCCATTTTATTAACGAATCCCAAAGAAAACAATCGTTTCTTTTATGTCCACAGATAGTTTCATATTCCATACACAAATTATAAAAAGCTGCAACACAAATGTATGACCATATATACTACATGAATTAAGGTACAAAAAGAGAGTACAAAGCATATGAACATAAAAAGGCTATGAAATATAAGCTGTCATTAAAAAATAATGTGTGAGGTGTTGATAAAGACTTCAATTTCAATGACTTTTGGCTGATACATATATTTAAAATTAGTCGTCCTCTTCTAAATATTGTTCGTACTTTTTGTCACCATCAAGTAAGAGATATGATTCTTGGTGTACTGGAGACCACTATTCAAATAACGAAGACATCTTGATTGATTCGATTTATTGGTTTGAAAAAGTATTACACCTGAACAGTATTTACACAATTTTCTTATGTTAATATACAGTTTTAGAATAAACATCGGCTAAATCCATCACAATTTTATCCCTAATGTTATATAGATCATACGTCTAAAAAATTGACTGAGACAATAGTCATAATATAAAATCAAAGCTATTGGTAATTTTACAGATAGTTTCGTTTAAGTTCTACACAAATAACACGGTATGTACTAAGAGAAAGTACATATTTCGAAAGATATGTTTCAAAGTGAAATATATCACTTCATATTCTTATTCTAGTTTTTGTTGTGACATAATTCGCCATGCTTTGTTACATTACAATAGATGACACATTACTCGGCGAACCTCCTGAATCCCGTATTTTTACTCACAGATATATATAATATTACTATCACTGAGATCATGAACCACCGTTGAAAACCTACAAGCAATGGACGACCGTTTCATCCTAGTATCGGGGCTCCTCGAGAGTGAGCATCCACGAACCCTCACGTAGGAATCAAACACAGTGCCTTTGGTCACACGCGAGAACCCTTAACGGTTGAGGATATACTGGAACGAAACGGCCATTCGATGTTTTCAGGTTTTTAGTGATGCTTTAACGTAGATTGGTTCGTGACTCGACAAACTCAGCAATTCTCACAGCTCCTAACTGACAATAATAATTTAATGTAAAGTATACAAAAGTGAATAAAATCTAACCTTTGGATTAGAATATTTATCTGAATTAGTTGGCTTACGTCCATAATCCTGTTCAAATAGTTTTTCATATTCTCGTAAACGAGATTTAAAATTATGTAAGTAATAAGTCAATCTATTGAGAATTTGATCGTTCGATTCATTAGTCCGATCTGTAGTTGACGGTAATTTCGAATAATTAGTTTCAGGATTTTTTAAATTTGCTTGACTCTGTATAAAAAACAAAAGGTATATGATCAATTTCAAGTTGGAAATAAAACAAACACCACAAAATCCGAATTATGAAAACAATAGTTGAAGAAGAAGATGGATTCATACAATTGCACAGTTTCTCACCAGCTGTAAACAACTTACAATTACAAACAAAACAAAATAACAATAAACAAACGTTTAGTAAACTTGAGTTGATACATTTGAAATTGTTGATCCAAAATGAAACAAAATAATCTTATGAGAAGAATAGGACACAAATTATGTAATTAAAGATAGTTAAGATTGACGCGTAATTTATAAGCTGAAAAGTAATAATCTAGAGCAAAGAAGATGAGGTTGTGGTTACTAATGGTTATACATAACAAGGAAAACAAATTACATAGGCGTAAAGAAAATAAATGATTCCACAATTATTAAACGTAATTAGAACTAAAACCAAGTTAACATGAGAATATTAATGACATTAAGCAAGAGATAAAGAGTTATTTGATTATAGTCATAATCAGGATGGTAAAAAAGTCGTCACACCTTACTTTAGTTGAGGAATGTTTGGTAATCATCGCTTCTCCGAAACGGATTGAAATTAGTGCTGATTGTTTGTTAGAGAAACGTTCCTACTGGTCTTCTGAACATACTTTAGAAAACCCATGTCTAACAGACATTAATGTCTTGGCAAGTGCAACCGCCAGGTACCTGATGAACAGTTACTATAATTTAAGCATTCAAATTAATCGACAACCAATATCAATATTTGGCTTGTGTTGAAAATGTATCTCAACTTCATTAATCAGAGACCCCAAACCACAAACAAAAACTTATTTTTACATAAACATGAATATATAAAAACATGCTTTGAAAAAATTAGTTTCAAGAACTCATATTAATCAGACTCAATAGTAATAACTAACACAGGAAAAAGTACATAAATGTTTGGATTTTGTAAATCAGATTGAGGAGAGAAAAAAGTCGTTCCAAAAAGAAACTATCAACGAAAGTAAATTATTGCATACTCATTCATTAATAAAACCAAATAATTTTCAAGGTATTATGAAGGCGACAGTGTTTGTTAGGGTGTTTTTTCACGTGATACCTTTTTCATCTGTATGCTAATTTATCATTTAAATAACCTTAAATATCTGCTTTGATGATTTAAAAACATTTCTAACAGAGAATTAACTATTCTATATTATGTAATCACATGTTTATTGATATGACTTCGGAATTTACTCAATCGATAACACTTACAGTGAACAAAAAAATGTTACAAAATCCTAAAATATTCTTTACAACATCTCTACAAAACTTTAGAACTATTTAAAACAAAAATTTCAAAAAAGTTTCCCATATTTCCTATGTACCGTAACGTTTGTCATTGAATCAAGTCGAAAAATCAATTTACTATTTGCATTGTATATTAATTAATCTCTTTAAATTGAATCTTTACTTGTCGTTACGCAAATAATTGAAATTCTAACATAATAATTATTTCTTTATTAAAATTGATTTTGGAAAGGAGGTGATCTCTAAAGCTTGGTTAATAAGAGGATTTCTACTAACTGAACACAAAATAAACATGATTTTTTTTACGATAATTCAGAAGACTAACATGTCAGAAAGTGATTAGGCTGTCACATATGTTAAAAACATTAGATATTTAATGCATGTTTAAGAAAAATACATAAACAAAGCATCTGACTAATAAACTCGAGAAAACTATGGATATATAGTTTTGCTGATCGAAGTAATTTAAGCCGTTCATAATCAAATACACAATCGCAAATAATATTTTGTTAATTGGTCAGAAGCACAATCCCAAATTGTTTGGATGGTACACTGATTGGTATTAAAGTTTATTCGTTTGATTATTTATTTCAAAGCCCTTAAGAATGATGAAAACTAAGGTTCAATGTCTTCGCGCAAATGTCAGGTGTTATCGAGGTATTTTCAGGATCGTAATCTTGCCATTATGTAATAGATACTAAGTGTTAAATATCAATGCTCATAATGTGCAAGTTTAATATTCACATTTCATCAAGAATACTTTGATAGATTCTTGGTAATTTGGTTCAATCTTCAAATTTTTTTAACGAATTCTAATTGCGTTTACCAAAGAAACTAAACATTAAAATGATAAAAAAACACTATTAATCAAGCTTACTTGTGAGTACTGTTTGATCATCAAGACAAAGCACTAAACAACTTAACATAATTCATCATGAGAATATATATTAAAGCCGACTATTTATTTACTCGATGTAGACCGACGAAGATTTGAAGGAAATTATTGTTATAAAATATTACGCATTTGCTGTAGACACTTCCAAGGTGCACTACTCTTAATTAACAGGATCATGTGTTTTTTCTAAATAACAAATTAATAAGGGTGGATCTCTATTTTATCACAAATGCTTACTCAATTAATATTCACTAGCGAAGTATTTACTAGTAAATATAGAAAAAACATTTTCTTTACCAATAGCATTTGTAAATCCACTAATCCGAGTTGGAGCAGATAATGATGACTTCTATCAGCTACTTATGAGGCTAAAAGCGCACTAATTTTCGAATAATGAGCAACGAATATCTCCGAGAGTAGCTGAATACAAAAAACAGTATGAAGCAGAAATGTACAGGTTGACGGTTTCTAGTAAATTAGACCACCAATGAAGTAGCCTGTATGTATTATGATACAATATTTTAATAAAGCCTCCAAAATCTGGGGCCTCGACTTAAACGTTCTCTCTAGGATAAATGGTTTAATTGAGAAGTTCGTATTTTTATTCTGGATGTTATCAACGTCTACTTCATATACAAGTGAAAATAAGAAATCTCAAAGATACTACTAACTCATGACTCGATTACAGAACAGGAGTGAATAGTAAAAGAAATTAAATATAACAACACGTAAGACTCACGATAGAATTTGTTTTAGCTACACCGACGTCTGAATAATCTGATTTCGAAATTTGATTCATACCAACTGAACTATGATTAAAATTATTAACTGTATCTGCAGTATCATACACTTTAAAATCTGATAAGCGTTCCTGAAATAAATGCTCTTGTATGCATGATCGAATAGCTATTTCTAAGTATGTTGAAATAATATCACATGTAGATGATTTACGCTTAAATTGATTATCATTAGTATCGACAATATCGTTAGTTTTCGCCAGTTCTGGCACAGTCTTCTTTGCTTTCGTTGTAGTTGTTGCAGCTGGGGTTGTTGAAGCTTTAATACCAATCTGTGGAACATCACAATATGTATTTGTAACATGTGTTAGCATGTGATTTGTCTCAACTTTTGCTGTCGACTGAGTAAGATAATCAGTATCAACATCATCTTCATTATTGCGAGACTTCACACTAGATAAGTTGTCAGAAGTGTTATATCTATGATATAGAACAAAAAACAGCAATTTCAGGTATATCCTAGCGGTAACTATTAAGATATTCGGCAAAAAGATAGATGTAAATTTTCGCATAGTTTAGTCACACACACTGAATTAGGCTAGATAAACAACTGAAATCAATAACCAATTGACTGCTATTGCATTCTAGTATAAAATCTAGCAGGGGTGTACACCACCAACTGAGCCAGAGATTGAACTCCAAATCTTCAGGCTTTGCAGTGAGCGAGCTACTTTTAAGTTTACACTGATATCTAGTGGTACATTAAATGATATTGATGAAATTATTCAAAACATAAAAATCAACTACTGGAGTGTGGTAGAATTACAGTACAACTATTCAAGTTATGGCATAAATCCACATGTTTAAAGTGGTTAAATTTTTTTCTTTACTCTATGTTTATTATCGTTTACAAAAAGCCAATAAGCTGAGTTCCAATTACAGTATAGATTGACTTCAGTTAGCCAATAATCAGTTATAAGAAGTACACAACCTGGCGCATATGTGCATCAGTTCAAGTAGCCACAACACCTTATCAGTACAGCAAAGTGAGATTGTCAAGATAATTCGCAAAGTAACACAGGCACTGACATTATCAGTGGTAACAGAAAAGATCGAATAAAGATTATGTGGGTAAAAAAGATTGGCCGTTAGTATATGGTTATGGAGATAGTTGAAGTTATCGCAGACTTAAACTAGACAACCATTGGAAACCTGGAAGGATTAGGCAACCATTTCATCCTGTTGTGCAACTTTTCTGTTGTTAGCATCCAAAATCCTGCAACCGCGAATTAAGCCCAAAAAGATGGTCGCACAATATAGTAGATTGATTGGGGTTAGACTTATACATCATTGGATCCCGGTTCAATGGTTAATTTAAGCGTTCGCGCGTGAGAACGTAATTCTGGCATAGGTTATTGAGTGAGGCGCCGTGGATGAGAACTGATAAGAAGTTTTATACTAGGACAACATGGAAACCCAGTGCTCGCAGGTTTCCAGTGGTTGTCTAACTTAAATCAGTTTGTGATTTTAAAAAAGGAATCGGTTGAATAAAATAAGATAATTTTGAGACTCAAAATTTAAGGGAAGACATAGAGTGAATACATCTGCACCATTATAGACGATTCTGAGACAGGCCACCCTATGTTCCCAACCACCGGTACTGATAATCACTAGGAACTCAACCAGACAGTCTGCACCTACCAACATGGCCCAGTTTCATTGTCAATGAAATTATGAACTGATGTCACTAAATGGTTTGGCTACCCTTATTTTTCTTTAGATCTAATTCTGAATGACCAAATATCATGCACCAAGTGAGGTGGTTGGTTAGACATAATACACACTCCGACCACTTCAGTTAATAAAGACTTACTACCTCACCAACTGACTTGACATCCTTATCAAGGGTTTGAGTCTAACCTCGGCACTGATCACTCAATAGTCCCAAAAATTGCAACCATTCATTTACAAACATCAGATTAGACAGTGAAGAAATGAAAAACCAAATAATCAATAGGATCATTGAGCTAACCGATCACTAATAACATTACAAATATTGTAAGGAGAAATTGTCTAAATTAAGATCAACTTCTGTTAGATCTAATCATCAAAGGAAATTTTAAGTGCATCCATCGAAATGACTTGAAAGAACAAACAATATTAACAGTTTTAAATTACTATATTGAAATAAATTATTCTCAAACAATTGATCAACAACGATAAATTAAAACAATATTTGATTTTTAAAACATTAATGCAATCAAAAGATGAAAATAGTAAAATAATTAATTTTTAAAACAGAAACCTAATGTTAGTTCAACCATTATTATTTGTGATTATTAAACTAACGACTAAGCAGACAATATGTATTTAACCTAGAAACGAAACATATAAACATATAATTGAGCTAATTAAAAACAATCACATATCTATGTACTTAACCTTCAAATACATTTGAGTTGTCTGAAATACTAGTGATACTATAAACGACTTTACGAATAGAAAACAATGAACTGGAGAACAGATATCTAGTCAACAGCTTTAACCAAAATAAACCGATGATCCATAATGAAAAGCATATGTAACTTCAGAAACAAAATAATAAACTTAGTAGTAGAATGAAAATTATGAAATATGTATGAACATCAAGTTATTCGCTTTGAGTGAGTCGCTTTGATTTCATTAATAAATGAGACATTTTAAAATACCGTTTTCATTCATTTCATAATCAACGTGAAAGCGTACACATATATACACAGTTTAAATCGTATCACTAGTCAATACATACACAATATGTGTACATAATACAACCCTGAAAAAATTAAACAACGTGAATAATAATTCAACCCTGTTGACGCCACTGAATAGCAACATATCAGTTATTAATAATACCCAAACCCATAGGTATGTGTCAACTAAATAGGTCATATTCTATGGACTTTGTATTACAAGTTTCTATTTCAATAGTAATCGATTTGTACTGTACTTCAGAGGCAGATAAGTGAGAAACGACAAGGTCTGGAGAATTCCAATAAACCCCCTACTAATGCTATACGCAAATCAAACTAATTAGAAAATAGGTAAGATGGTTTGACTACTAATAACAATGCTAAAATCATGTACGTCGATTTATAAGCTGATGGTAAGATTAATGAAAACAACGTGATCGTATTAAAATAAAGTAGTATTTACTTGTTTAGTGAATAAATTACATTTACAATGCTGGAAATAACAAAACATCAAACTTGTTTATCATCGTTACATCATAGAAATTATCTGATAACTAATTGAACAATTCGAAACTATCAACCATAGAAATTAGTAGCTTATTATTAAAACGAAAAAAGTGACGAAAAATATGTTAAGTACTGCATATTGTAGCATATTCCAAATCTTGTTCTACTAACTTCCAGATTCGATTTTTAGATTGTCTTAAGGTTACTCTTGTGTAAGTGATTATTCAGTAGTCAACTCACTTTTTTCTTGTTTCTCTTTCATTAAACATCCTCTCACACTCTCTCACCACAGAATGTACCTTCAGGTTAAATACAAACCAATTTATATTTGCACCTCATCAAGGGATTTATTCCTAGGGTAACTCCAGCCATCTGGTTAAGTTGCACATACTACGAGAACCTCTAAAACTTGATTTATTACGCATCAGCTTACACTAATTCACATAAACTCGTCTATAATACCATACACTATAACAGCATGGTTCTTTGATCTAGGAAGACATAAAGAGGAACAACAGATGTATGTGCTATACCATATCTTAAGGTTAAAAACATTAAATCGGATCGGAGTTTTAAATAAATAAATAAATAAATATATATATATATATATATATATATATATACCAAGAGAATTATTACTAATATATATACTTAAAATAATTGATTTGAAAAATAATATGCATAGTAAGTCGACAAGCCTATTGTTACACTCTCATAAAACTATAACAATTAATGTGATAAATGTGGAATATAAACCAACTGACAAACACTGTTTTACACAAAGTATATACATCAAAAATGGATTTGTCATTTACGTCATCAAAGAGCTATAGTGGCTTAATTGACCGATGAGATTACTGAAATCGATGACATGCTCGAATTGATTATTTACTCAAAGGACAAACAAATCCTGATAGTTGAACCTATTAGATTACAAATACCAGAAAAACTAGATAATTAACTGAATCCAAGAGTTAAATGAAAAATTTTGATTTACAAGCAAAATATAAGAACAAATTTAATGTGACTACGAATCATCTGTTAATTATAACAAATGAATAATGAACGATAAAAATGAAGGGATGAAGAAACAGTTAATGTTCGCACACTTCAGCAGTCATTTGTGAGAATAATGCTAACCTAACAATGATTATACACTTGATATTGGCTAGCAGTGAAAATGTTTCATTCTAGTGAGGACTTATTAGCTGGATATATATATATATATATATATATATATATATATATATATATATATATATATATATGTATATATATATATATATATATTCCCATCAATATAGAATTCAATTATTTCAAAGTTTAATATTTACAGCAACCACATTTAATTCAACAGGTCTAAATCGTTCTTATTCTTCAGTAACTAACATCAACATGATCACACACTCGTCTTAAATCGAATAAAATGTTCATTCTTAATTTGATTAACAGACATTCTCAAGTATAAAGTCAAAAATTTAACTACAGAAAACACCGAGGTATCATTTAAGCCAACATCAGAAATGATGATATTTCAACAATAAACAAGTCCAATAATATAAGCTGCCAATAATTATTGAAAATTCCACTCTATAACACATACATGATATGTATAAATACCATAAATTTAACAACACATATAATTTTCTTTTAGGAATCGATAAGTAACAGTTGAGAATCACGCGAAATACAAAGTGATTATTTAATGTCCTTAAAGCGGAAGATCAAATTTTCTAACTTGATTCAACAACAAAAACAACAACAACTTCAACCGACTAAATCCTATTATCAGAAAAGCAATTTACACGGCAACACAAAATAATACCGACAAAGATTCGTCTTGTGTGTGTGTATATATATAAAAGGTTAGACTTTATTCCTTATGGTAATAATAAGTTTTTATATTGAATACAATGTTCAAACTAAGGGGTAAGCACTTTTAAATCATTAAAGTAAGTAGTTTAAAATTGTCTATTACAAAACAATAACAATCAAGTAATTCTGATTGTTTAGTCAACTATAAAGTTAGATCGATAGTAAACTAGTCAAAGTACAGACACGTGTGTGTACTGAAATACGAGTCATAACTAAAATATGAAATATAAAAGGGTAAAGAGTCAAGTCCTCAATTGCTTAGTAATTTATTTATTGAGATTTATTTTATTCAAGTGGTAAAATTTACTAAAAAATAATTTTTTTCTCCAAATATTGGGAAAAAACTACTTCACTCTTGTAGTATCGCAT